TTTCTATAAAAATGATTACTTTAAATAATTAATAATTAAGTACAAAGCATTGCATTATTTTTAGGTTCTTGTATGTAGAACTATTTGACAGCCTACCTGGATACATGTCATATATTGGAACTAAACTTTTGTAAGTTCTGGTTTATATTTATTTAACTTAGCTCTAAATATGGAAATGTGAAGAGTAAACATAATATAAAATTAGACGAAAATGGAAACGATTACCTCCAGAGACATATATGTGTATATAATATTTTACAAATCGTTCGCTATACATACCCGTTCGATAAAAATCTTTTTTGTCTACCCATATCAGACTAAGAAGCTTCTTTGCCTCCGGCCGGTGTACGGTTCGTGTAAGCTCGATAGGTGTCCATTATTGATTCGTTGTAACGAATAAGGAGTTTACAGCCGATAAAGTACGTATTGTTTTTGCTGTTAAACTAAAAGTCTTTCGATCATAAGATTGCTATCGAGTAAAATTTTCAAAATACAATTGAGTCTACTCGATATCGAAAACAACAAACCGGTCTCTGTTCGTATGCTTTATACCTCTTGTGGTATGGGGTATATTAAGTTTGTCGCGACGCACGTACAACTCGGAAGGGGTAAGATAAACTCACCTAACCTTGTCTGTGAAGTCCATGTAATGGATGTTCATGTGTTTTAGTGTTTAACCTATAGGCCGCAGTTTTTGAGATATTTTGGTGAAATTTGGCACACTGGCTAGTTTTGATCCAAGAACGAACTCTATTAAAAATAGTTCGGATTGGTCGATTTTTTCGACCACTTGCTATTTTAGAAATTTTTCGACGAAACTAGTGATGTAAAAATATAAAGACATTCTAAATTGGTATGAAAACTTTGATCCGGCTGCGCCAATTTTTTGAATATCCTCCCATTTAGCCGTTCCTACGAAAACTGAATCTTAAATAATAGAAAGGTAAAGTTTTTAATATTTCCTGATGAAAATTAGTTCATAAAAATGAATTGACATAAAAATCAACATCGATTTGGACAACATGGGTCCATTTATTGGATACCACCGCATGTAAGAATTCTCAGAAAATGTAACCCCATACACGCCACAGCTATCTAATTATTCATGTTCTATGATGAAATTTGAAGCATATGATTCTATTTCTTGGACTCCACTCCACCTAAGATTTTGCTCGAATAGCAAGCACTTCAGTTTAATTTTTAACATTTCATGATGGAAATTGGTCCATAGTAGCAAATTGACAAAAAAAATTAACAGTGGGGAATTTGAGTGACTCAGACCTATTTGTTAGGCCTATTATTAGGAGTTACCATAAAGATCAATCCCTTATATGGAGAAAGAGTCTATTTTGCGTTTTTTTTATTACGGAAACAGATGTAATAAAATTTTCTGAAACTAAATTAAATTGGCTAAGTTTGGATCAGGCCATGTGATGGTTGACCATCCTCCACTTTCGTGGAACGTTTGCCTTTGCATGAAAATATTATTATTATTATTATTATTATTATTAATTTCGCCAGAGAAATAAATTCTAAGACTAAACTCTTAAAAGCACTAGCATCTAAGGCTATCGGCCTTTATTAAAAACTCTACCGCACTTGAGATTCGAACCCACGACGACTGAGTTGCTAGTCGAGACTCTTGCCTACTCGGCCACCCAGGCGGATGCATGAAAATAATGTGTAATATTTGATGTATAACTATCAACCGGGTGAATATTGTCAATTGTTTTTATACAATTTTATTCAACAAATATGTTCAACCCATCTCATATTGATTTTAAAACTTGTATTGAAAATATCAATTTATTATGTCTTACACTTTATTGTGTAATTGTGAACTACATGCGAGTATAATTTATTACATATACATACGTACATTATATATGCTTGCCTTTGAATTGTGCACACATTCCTTGCACAAATCGAAATGCAATTATATATAAATGTGCGATAATATGAATCATATGATCATTTAAGTTTTATCAGATATTTTATTAGATATTCTCATTTCTGCGTTTACCAGCGTTAGTGACTTATCAGGTAAAAGAAGCACACCAAACGCATTTTCCCAATTAGATGGCTTAAAGCGTGTAATAACATTGACACTCACCCATCTCAAATAAATGTGAGCGCTCATTCTTTATTGTAGAGCACTAAATTTTTGCTTTATTGTGCCATTAAAACCACTGTCAGATTTCAAACATACTTTGGTTTTTTTTTAATTTGTAGGTTTTTTAGTTTCTATGGCTATATACAAATACTTGTGAATCAATATAATTTAATGGCTACGTGTGTGTTCATATAAAAAATCGCTTGTCGCTCTTGCACACAGTTGTAACAGTTCCTCTCAATGAAGAGAAAGTGAAAGTATACAATCAATACAACTATAATATTCTTTTTATCGGCTTCTCAGTTCCCATGGCATGCGTTTTCTCTAAAGGCCTCTCGGCAGAACATGTTCGAGTCTGCGTAAAGTGACACAATTTTTTATTAAAACTCGTTGTGTTAAATGATACTCTATTCTGTAGAGCTTACACTGACGCTTTTAAATAGTCTCTCTCCTCAAAGAATTTAATATCAATTCAAAAGCAATGTATTGACACAATTTTTGTTTTGTTTTTACTTTTAACCCCAATAAAACCAGTTTTTTAAATTCCATTTTGTATGAAATTTCTTTCCGGTGTTTGTACATGCCAGTTTCGACCTTTTCTCCTGCTCATATTGCGCAAGAGCGCCGATAAATTTTAACGCATAATGACATATAACCCACAAGTAACAACATTATAGCCGGGCAAGGCCGCGCTCTGGTTACCTTGCTACGCTTCACCTAGTAAAACTATTCATTCGTTTTGGTAATCATACACTACAAATACCTTTCATGAAAGCAGATTGAAGGACGCTCAGAATATCACAAGGAGCGAAATTTAGCAAACTTAACTTACTTTCAAAAATTTTGTAAATGTTTCAGTTTCTGTCATAAAAAACTAGAAATTATACTTTCTCCCCATACAAGGACTTGTTTTCCATGATAATATCCATATATGTTAAGGTGTACAAAATTAGGCCTCTGTAATCCAAATTCCCTACTCTTAACTTTTGCTAAATCGTTACTATGGACCAATTTTCGAACCAAGTGGCGCCCAGGGAGTAGACTCCTATTGTTCAAAATTAGTCCATTTCGTTTTTACGATTACGAACAACTTTTTATCATAAAACATTAAAAATTATCGGCATATTAAGGGCCGAATTGCCTGAGACTTCTTATATTCAGTGATATCTAAAAGGTAGATCTACATGATCCAGATTCTATGTCAATTTACTATTACGAATCAATATGGACCGATCCGAATTATTTTTAATAGCGTTCAAAACAAGCCAGTGTACCAAATTTCATCAAAATATCGGAAAAATTGCGACCAGTACGTTGAATACAAGTATATATGAACAGACATCAGATGAAAAACCGGACAGACAAGCTTAGATCGATTCAGAATAATTTTCTGAATCATTTCTATAATGAAAGGTTCGTCCGCACAAACTAAATATATTCTATGCCCCAAGTAATGTGGTGCATAAAACTTGCCACGCATCCGCGCTTTTATATAACTTCAAAATCAAGGCAGCACCAAATAAATTGGTATATTACTATACCCTTACACTTACTCATTGGTATATAACAACAATTAAAAAATTTTCCAAGGTTATAACTTGGATTCAGCTAAAATGAATCCCGAATTCAGTTGATTCTTAGACGTAAATCTGTTACCTTTAAAAACTAATACAAAGTCTATAAAAATAAATAAAAAAAGGAGTCAAATCGGAATCAGTAGTTGAAAAACTTCGTCGGAACCAAAAGGTTTGAGGTTTCAATATCATCAGAGAAGTCGGAGTCATTGAGAGAAACCTGTGAAAGTTATATGGACATTTTTCTTTTGGATTTGACGGACTTACAAAAATATTTAGAATTAACAGGCATTAACATTGGTGGTTGACGTAACTAAATGTATGCCTTTCAGCAGAGTTGGCGAAATAGTCATAAGCAGAACCGCTTTTCATAAATTTTTTGAAAAGTTGGTTTTTGGGTTTTTTGTAATATTGAATACTTGTTAAATCGTCGCTGGCACACATTCCGAGAGCGCGATTGCTTGATTGCTTGATCGGATGCAGAGATTAGGTTTAATACATTATAGAACGATGATAGTAGGAGTTCAATATCCCCAGCAGAAAAATCGAATATAATATGTGAAAGATGAGATTTAGGCAGTAAGATATTGGCTTTATTAAAATAATAAAGTTTATTAGAGGAAATTGGACTTGGCACCATGGGGTGGTTCAATGGCCCATAGCGCCTGTAATGCAACAGATATAGCAACTAAATCACTACTACGAGTGCAATTTACTCTAACTGAATTCAGGAAATTATAGGGAATTTTTGAGTTTAGGACCCTAACATTTTGGGTAATGAAAGTTACTGGGCCTGAAGAAACATTTAGTTCTTTGAGGGTGAAAGAACTACTGAATTAGTATTACGAGGATGATGTCGAGAAACGAATTCCTTAATCCTACAATCGTTTATTTAACTAAATTTCCATGTTTTCGGTGGGAACTAACATCTTAAAAGAGACAGACATGGAGCCAATTTTTGGACTTTTGCAGCAAGATAACTTTTTATATTATCCTCAGAGGTGTCAAGCACCAGCCTTGACGCGAATATTGCCTTTCTGGGGGGCACTACCGTCAAACAAACGTTATCCGTACTAGGAACGATAGGAATTGTGAGTTGGGGAGATATTAGAGGGGGTGACTACACTTGCTTATGCAGATTGTGCGACTTGTCCAACATGGTGAACAGTGGGATAGAGGGGAATATATTTATTATTATTTTATTAATATCCTTTGATGGCACCACCTTGCTACCTCAGCATAGCTGACACTTGGAGGGCTTGCTGGCTTCTTTGTAACATTTGCGGTAGGGGAAACGCTAATGTTCTTTGTAGGCAAGGACGGAACACTCGCCAATGACAGATCCACAAAATTTATCGTTGACGATGAGGACGAAGAGGAATGGTGGCGAGCAACATAGATCGACATATGAGGTTTGTCTCCATGAAATATAAAAGGCAATGTTCCGCCTCCTGCAGTTGGGACATGGCCAACGTAATCTTGGGACTGCGTAACGCTCGCAAAGCCAACAAATAGTGAATCGCTCAAAATCAGAATTTGTTTTGATTCGACGTGATGTAAATAAACACCTAATGTCAGAAAGCAGCAGAGAAAATAGAGTTTGTGAAGAAAGAAAAAACAAAAAGTTTGTTACGTATCCAAAAATTATCTCTTAAATTAGCGCCAAAACTGCGCACTATTAAAAACACAGCAAACAAAGAGAAAAACTGTAAGCGGCGCAAACCAAGGTAGATCTTTGGAGGTAACAACATGTAAAAACAAGACAAAATTCAATAAATTTAAACACTTTTACCAACAAAATTTCTGCACACAAAAGTAAAAAATACGACCACAGCGCGCGCGCAGAGATGCCGAACAGTGAATTGACTGTAATGATGCAACAGACACAACGGGAGAGTTTATAAAGAAGCAAGCGGAAGAACAGGCAATTCGCAGGATATACTATATATGCAAATATCTTTAAAAAAGTGCGCTGCGATAAATATTTAATATTCCCAGATTTTACAGACCGTCTGTCTGTTCATACAACACAAAAACCCGAATTTTTTGATATATACCGGTAACAACATGAAATGTTCCCAGCAGAATATTATGAAAGTAAACATAAGTTAAATATTAGGGAACTGATTTTTGATAAGATTATTGAGAAATTTTACCGTGGACAACGACTGCAACAAAAATAAACGCCGCTTCCTGGAGTTAGCATGTCGACTAAGAGTATGCTAAATGAAAAAATAAAAAATAGTTTAAATTGCATAAATTAGGACTAATAATAGTTTTTAATATTTTATTCATTTGTTTAATTGTTTAACTCTAGAAAACAAAACATTATAATAATAATATTATATTTAAAATAGATACCGCGAAGAATGACATAAGAAGCATGATATGGAAAATTGTATAAAATATGTCATATATCAGGTGTAAGCAAACAAAATTAATAATTATGTATATACAATAAACAAATTAGTTAAAAACAATTATAATAAAGTACAAGATAGTCTATTATAATAACAAAAGATTTCTTTACATATTTTGATTTGAGATTTTTCAAAGCAATTCCGCATTCTTCAATTTTTCAAAATAATGAATGAAAAGGAAACTCATTATTTGCTACATACATATCTGCTGTTTGATCTTTTTTCGTACGTACACACTTATATGCATGCTATAGCCCGTATTCACCTAAAGACATAGAATGTTCCTTTTTTGCAAACGAAAGATTACGACGCCATATCAAGAGACTATTAGCAGAATCTTTGCCCATAAAAAAAAATGAGAATAAAAGAGCAAGCATACCAATGGCTTCTAATTAACGGGGGGTACTACTGTTATTCGTAACAGATGCACAAAAAGTATCCAAGAATCTCTTAATCGCAATTTTGAATAAAGTGTTGGAACAAAATGTTGGAACATCTATGTATTTCGTTATCTCTGCTTTAATACAAAACCTATGAAAGAGAGTTTAAGTTTATAGATTAACAGATTTCTGTATTTGTTTTTAAGAGAATACCCCTCCATGCAACCCTTCCGTGCAAAGATCCTTATCACAATTTTACGGCACAGGTAATATTATTGAGACTCCTAAACAGCATTTACGAGTGCTACAAAATAAGTCAGTAAAGAGTATTTGCAAGCGCTTCATTTTTTGGAAATCGGAGTAAATGCTGTCAAGACTGTATCGTAAATTTAAAAAAAAGATCAAAATGAAGCGAATAAGATTTTTTTATTATATGAATAATTGTTTGTTCAAAATGGTATAGTTATTGAAAATTTAAAATTTGCAAAATTAATATTACTTTGTAAGCAAATATTAGGAAACAAAAAAATTTTTTTAATTCACACACATATCGTCTACAAGATGTGGACATATTTTTCGCAGTACCTCTTTCTTGCCACTATATTCAGCGGCTCACTTAATTCCGGCTACATATTGTATGAAGAAAAAATCCTGTATACTAAAGAAATTAATTAAATTTTTAAGTAAATTCATAGCTAATATTATAAGGAAAACAAACCACCAAATCAGATTTTTGAACATTTTACCCAAGTTTTTATTTTTTATGTCGACTTGAAATTTTTTATTTGATATGATTTGTATGCGCATCATCTGTGCGTCGCTACGGAGTTTTAAACTGACGCTTTTTTATCTACCGACCACAGCCGTGAGCGTGTACCTAATAGCAAATATTGATGTGAAGCTCAAGGTTTCTATCAATAGAAGTAAACTTGAAATTCACCTTAAAAATCAGAGTAAATAAATAAACGGCGGTTTCCGTGTATATAATATTCCAGGAAAAGAACAAGTATCAATGGAAATCTGTGGTGATAGGACCTGGAACGCAACAAAAGCGAGAGAGTCCGAGCGTCGTTACGCTCGTTATGCAGTCGCATAAGGCGGTCTTCCAATTCAACTGCGTCAGTTGTTGTTGTTAGTCATCTCTAGTGATTGTTTTGTCAAGTTGGCTCGTTATAGACCGTTTCTAAATGGTGCTCCCAAATGATGATGACTAGGGTGTTCGATTTTACCGTCGATGTTAATGTATCAATTAATTTTCTGATGTTACAGTTTTATACTACGCTATATATTGCTACCAACATGTTCTCTTTAAAATCATCGGAAAATGAGTTACGCATTCGGTAAATTTTGGGGAACAAATTCATATAAAATTAAGAATGCATTTTATACCTTCCACTGAAAGATGGGGGAATACTCATTCCGTCCTAATGTTTGCAAGACCCAAAAGCTTTAGAGATGCTATAAAGTGCATATATTCTTGACCAGCGTGAAATGCTTAAATGACTAAGTCATGTCAGTCCGTGTGTGTGGTATGTGTTGCCGACATTCTACTGTTCGCAAAAATGGAGATATCGAATTCAAATTTCCTAGAAATATTCGAGCTTTTTGCCTGCGAGTTGGTATTCAGAAGGGGCTACATTGGTCAGAGGACAAGCATGGAGCAAAGCGTAAATTTAACATAAAATTTCTGGTTTTCTGCTCATTACCAACAAATTATAAAAGATAGAAGCCTGCGAATTTTTCACATTTACTTTGAAAAAGTGCTATTTATGTGCAAAAATAGAAACAACCGGCCATATCCATACAATGATTAAATTAACTACTTTGTACATTCCTCAAATAAAGGCGTATTATCTGCCTAAAAATGACTTAATTCTAAAATAAATGTGGCGAACGCCGCGATGTAGTGGATTAATTTTTTCATAATAATACCAGTGATCCGGGTAACAAATGAATGGATACGAAAAGCTAAGTGTCTTAATTCTAAATTAGGTATATCCTTATGTATATAACTTTATAAAGTGGGTGGAGCGTGCCAAACATAACTCTAACTTTCTTGTTAATTTTCTTAAAGTAAATTACACCAATATTTTGTGTATCCGATAATTCTAATAAGTTTGATAACTCTGCGAGCGGGTTGTTTACGTGTGCCCTATAAATGCTTACAAATTTTTCCAGATTTGTCCTAATTTATTTGTTTTAGCTGATTATTGAGCTTTAATAAACCCTAATGTGTTGTAGAGAGTAAAAGAAGTAAAGTATGTAGTTATTATACATTTTGAATCACGATTGTATTGTGAAATCATTTTATTTTCTATTCGTTTTTTGTTGTTGTGTTTTGGGCTAATTTTTTGTTTATCTTTAAATCAGCTCAGCTGGCGAATGCCATCAAAGTTTGGTCAATTTCCACTTTCATAAAAATTTCGGGGGACTGTAGGTACGACCATTTTTCATTCTTTACGGTGTTTGTTCATTATTTTAATTATTACCATCATTCTCTAATATTTTATTTTTGTATGTTTAATTTGTTGTTTTTTTTTCAAACATCTCTGTTTTTAATTTCCTCTTTTCCACTGTTTACTAAACCTATTGCTATTCTCGCTGTTACATTGTTTTAATAGTGTGCAACTTTAAGTTACCATTACAATTACTTGATTACTTGATTAGTTGTTCTTGCTTTTGTTTTGGCCAACATGAAATGTTGTTTACACAACGTCGTGCTAAAAATGGGCCTGAATCGGATCGCTTCATGAGTGACACTGCCTTTGGGAGCGACACTGCCACACAATATGTGCTGACGACGTATTCTTCGATTCAACGAAAGGATTACGTTGCTCCTGTCCGGGCTGCACGGAGAGAAATATCGACTTTTATAAGCTTTTTATGAGGCTAAAAGGATTTCTTTGAATGAGATAAAGAGTTCAGAGCATTGGGAGGGAAACTTGATAAAAGCCGGAAAATCCTCCTCTTGTCAGCTATGCTGAAGTAGCACGGTTATCACCCCCAGTTGTGCCATTCTGTATATTCAGTCTGTACTTCCAATAAATATTAACAAAACCATTAAATCCTTCTTCTCCTGCTAGCTGTTCCTGTGTATCCGCTGAATGACGTCTACTCGATTGCCTGTCCCACTTATTTGAATTTTCTACCTGCCGAGGTTGAATGTATTGCCATTCCGGCGAAAATCGGCAATACTTAGTTATGCGTAACTTGCTCCTATGTTCCTCCAAATGCGGATATTTATACCTATAAGAAACATACTGCCTTCATTTGCGACGTGACTAAAAAGGTTAAACTTACTGATAGGGTCATAGCGTTCAATTTGCCACAAGACACTTTGTAGTACAGGGATAAGTCTGGTTATATGGTGTCCACTTCGACATCTGACGGAACTATTGTGTTTTTCGATGAATTATTTGATTGTCATCTATTTCAATACATCCGCATGCCTAAATGTGAAGGCAGGCTGCTCGATCTTTGCTTTACCAATTTCCTACAGATAGCTTTGAATCGCTGTCCACCTTTTAGTTTACCTGAGGATACGTATCCTCCAGCAATTTGTATATCCTTCCATTACAGACCATAGGGCCCATTGAGCCACTCCAAGGTGTCAAATCCAACTTCCTCGAATAAACATTATGATTTTAATAAAACCAATATCTTACTGACTAAATCTCATCTCCCACACATTCTGTTCGAAATATTCAATATTCAATATTTTCTTTTGGAAATATTCAAGCCCTACTATCATCGTTCTAAAATGTATTAAACCCAACTATTTCTGCATCCGTTCCGATCAAGCAATCTCGCTCTCGTATTCAATATTACAAAAAAAGGAAAAACGAACTTTTCAAAAAATTTATGAAAAGCGGTTCTATTTCGCCAACTCTGCTGAAAGGCATAGATTTAGTTACGTCAACTACCAATGTTATTGCGTGTTAATTCTAAATATTTTTGTAAGTTTGTCAACTCCAAAAGTAAAAGGTTCATATAACTTTCGCAGGTTTCTCTCAATGATTCCGAATTCTCTCATCAAACCTCCGATTTAACTGTGAATTATCCGTGTCCTATAACTAAGTCGATTTCGATTCTTAACATTTCCGAAAACGATGGTTTACATGGTTTGAGGTCTTTAAAATAAAGTTGTGCGCCTGGGCCTAATGGCATTCCATCATGTATACTCAAATCATGCACTCATGAGCTATGTGATTTTATTTGAAAGATTTTTTAATCCGTCCTTGAAACCAATTGTTTTCGCTTTGTGTTGGAAGAGTAGTTTCCTTACTCCGCTTCACAAATGTGGAAACAGACATCACGTTGAAAACTTGGCATTGCCAAGTTGAGTATTTTATTTAAATCTTTTGAGCTAATTATACTTATTGATCTTCAAGACCTCTGGGTTCCTTCTCTACTTAGTGAAAAAGGTCGTTCGGGGCTGTGTTTAATTTTATCACCATGTAATGTTCTCCTCTCGGTTTAAATTCACCCAATTTGTAATGAAATCGACGATGTTAAACAGTTTTCTTCCTTTTCCTTGGAATCGTAATCGTATCATCTTCAAATTCAATGCAGTCATTCAATACTGAGTATTTCATTGATTTAGGGGTTCTATACGATCAAAGATTACGTTGTAATTTTCACATTGATCTCTCTTTAAGTAAAGCTACGGTCGCGCTAAATTGCATTAAGAAGTCCAACGAGCTTATGGATCCTTACATTAAAAAAAGACTAAAATGTGTTTAGTTAGACCAATGCTTGAGTGTGCCTCTCTTTTGTGCTGTCCTTCCTACAGGTGTTATGTAGATTCAATTGAATGCTTTCAAAGGCAGTTCTCGCTGTTTGCTTTACGAATTTGAGTTGGGGCACGTTGCACTCTGCTTCCTTATAAAAATAGTTTGCTTCTATTATCCTTACCACTATGTTAATAATGGTGCTATCAATTCGCCCACATTAGCGGTGAAATACATTTGTAAACGTATTGCTGAGATAAACATAATTACTAGGCACTTTACATCCGTTAAGCTCAGTCAATGTAAATATATTTGTGAACTGTTTAATGCGTTCAGAGTTGTTGGCGGAAACCTAAATGAAGTCTATCACTTAATCTCAATATCGGACCCTTTAAAGTCTATAAAAAAAAACAATGCTTAATACGCGCGATTTTTCTATGCCTTATTTAAATTAACTTGGAATCTTAACATCTCACTATGATTCGAGAACTAACTCGTATTGTTTGCTGTTATCGGTCGTCAGGCCTTTGAATGTTTGCAATGTTGCTGGTTGTAGGTTTGCCTCTACGGAAGTTGTTTACATGCTTTTTTATTCTCTTCTTTCTTATTTATTTATACATGAATTGTTATTTTTTGTATTTTATTTTGTTTCTTTAGTTCCCCTTATCTATTTTGTATTAGTTTTTTAATATTAATTATTGTAAGATTTACTTCTAAGAGTAAATTGAATTCGGCTGTTAATTTATTTGAGCTGGGTTTCATGTATACGTAAATGAACAAATAGATAAATATTAAAGTCGTTTTCTTCTATACAACTGTCGTCACCGACGTTCTGACTTTTTTCTTGGTAATCTGCATCCAACGGATTCACGTCTAAAAGCCCTCTTTCACTCGGGTTCTCTTTTATTTCGTCCGTTAATCCATAGACGAATCTAAAATTATGTCATCGTCTTCTTTGCAGCTTCAACTTTCGCTCTCGAATTGTGAACGAAGAATTTCCATGGACAATAATCTTACCGTGCTTTATTTTGTGCACTGGTCGACGTACTTTATTTTCTATTCTAGTTTAATTTTCCGGGGAACTAAAAATTACCTTTTCAGGTGCAATAAAACATTCTCTACGAGATTTATCATAGACGCTATTGTTATTACAAAACGTTCAGACGCTTTCACTTTGATTTTATTTTAAAAAATGAGACCTTTCAAATACTCCTGTTCCTTCAATTATTACGCTTTCTAGTCAATTCCCGGTTGACGAGAAAACCTCAAAGCAACTTTGTTATTTATTTTAAAACATTTAATTCGTCAAAAACGCTATCCATCTTTTTGACAAATGTTTTGACAATATTTTTGAAACATACCGGTACCAACGCGATATGTACGCAGGACATTGTGAAAACAAATGCAAGCTAGTTATTAGGAAACTAATTTTTTATAAGGTTATCGAGACAATAAACAATTTGTTTACCACGGAAGATGACTTCAGCTGGCGTAGACGCATTTACTGGGCATGACATTAAGAGTCTTATTGTAAATAAATTCGAAATTCTTGGCCCGACAGCATGATGATTTAGAGTATATTAATAGAAAAAATAAAGAACTGTTGAAATTGCATAAGCTAGAATTAAGGACTACTTATTAATATATTATTCCGGAATACAAACGCACAGAATAACTCATTTGTGATATGGAAAATTGGATAAAATATGTCAAATAAATATTTGTAAGCAAATAAAATTAATAAATATATAAATAAAATAAACAATTACATGCAGACATTATAAATAATTATATATATAAAATAATTAAATAAAAAAGTTTTTTTTATCTTTTCTTTATGTTTGTTGACAATTTTCATTAAGATTCGTCAAAGCATTTAGAGAATATGGAATTTATAATTCTTCAAAATAAACGACAAAAAGAAAACATATTTACTACCAAAATGCCTGCTATTTGGTCTCTTTTCTACATGCACGCTTACATGACTGCTAAAGTGCATATTCACATAAAAACGCAGAATTGAATATGTTTCTGCTTTGCAAACGTTTGAAAGAATGCGACGCCATATCGAGAAACTATTAGCAGAATCTTTGCCCACACAAATAATAAGTATGAAGTAACAAGCATACAAATGGCTTCTAGTTAACAGCGTTGCTCCTGTTACTGATATTAGATACACAAAAAGTGACCAGTCTAAACTCAATTTTGAAAAAATATTGGAACATTTAGGTATGTCGTTGCTTCTGATTAAATCGAAGAAGTGTATGTTTATTATATTTGTTCTAACGATAAGGAAAAATTCGTGAAAAAATGTTCGTGAGAAACAAAGAGAAGCAAAAGTAATAACAACACATGTTTCCTTCTGAAGTGAACTTTGATCTATACACTCATGTATTTTTACTGCAAGCCTTTAGGTTCAAATTTTTTACTTCTTCATGAAACACGCCTATTTAAATTTTTTTTTTCTGCGAAAAAGTGCAGTTTACAAAGTCTATTTTTAGGAATTTGTGTGCCGAAAACGTGTATCACGTGTTACATGCTGCCGTGCTATTGAACTTATAAAAATTTAAGTTCGTGACGAGATAACAGCCCAAAAAAAAATAAAGCTCAAAATTAAATGATTTTTGTGGTCTTACTAAGCAAGAAGTTTTTTGAATTCGGTATAGAAGGTTTAAATAAAACCTAAGCAAGCCAACAATCACCCAGTCAGTCAACTAGTTCCACTACTAGTGTTTAATACTTATAATTTCGTTCCAATATATATGGGCAGATATATTCTATGGATTTTGTAACGCACATAACGTGAATTTAATACGAGAATAATCATAAAGACCAAGTGTGATTATATCCATCAAACTTTAAGTTTGTGGGAATATTGCGCGTACTGCAGAATATTGAGTATTGAACGACCAGTAGTGGAGTATCATCAAGTTGAACTGTTGCTGGTTTAAATAAAAAATAAAGAACATAAAAAACAAACAAAAAACGTAAGTGATGGCTTTTAGGGCTAATTACGACATTAACGTTTCCAGGTATTTTGCATTTTTGCAAAATTGTTAACCGAATGCATTCATTCGACTTGGCTTTCTATTAAGCTCGCATAATTGGAAGCGATCAAGGGTATATATTAAGTTATTACAGTCATGAAAATCGTTATTATGCTTAACAAATTACTCTTCCTTTGGTAATTTCTTGCTGTAAAATAAACTATCAGCTATTGTTTATTTCAGTTTGGGGAGTGTTTCGCCCTTACGCGGTGACAGAAAAAAGAGTGACTAGCCAAACCGAAGTTTAATGATTTGCAGTCTTTTACAAAGGCATTCATAACGGCTAATTTAACGAAATTATATTCCATTAGAACATCATGACCGCAAGAAGGATCATCGCATTTTCGATGATCATTATCATTGGGGTCCTGTGGAGGGCTTTAGAAATTGAAGGTAATTAAAAAATCCAAAAATAAAATTAAAGAGATGATCTCTGTACTCACTTAAATTAACGTTCCAGCGCTTCCCACCGTAAACTTTTTCGGACAACAAAACCATATTAATTGGACTCAATCGGAAGATCGTTGGGATATTGTATCAATCCCGCGCAGCATCAAACCTCATGTTGATTTATCTCAAAAGAATGGCAACCGTACAAATCCTCTGGTAGGTCAAGACCATGAAGCAGAATTCTTGGAGCATTTGCGTCAGCTAAAATATAACAACCCTTCTTCTTGGCCGCGCATGCTTTGGCAAGAGAGCTCGAACAACAACAACGGCTTGGTGAACAAAGCTTTAAAATTATTTAACTTGAAACAGGTCTCCTACGAAATTGAGAACAGCGTTCTTTCTAAAGTATCCTGCACAGCGTGTAAAGCAGGCGCCGGCTTATTGTTACACTACATACACACGGGGAAATCGCAGCAAGAAATTATTAAAATGATTTTTCATTTTTGCGCAAATCTCAATATACAATCACCGCGAGTATGTGAAGGTGTTTCAACGCTTTTTGGCAGTGAAGTAATTTACGTTCTGCAGCGCACCACCCTAGGACCTGACGAGATTTGCAGTTTTGTCATCGGAGACGGTTGTGGAGATGTTTATAATCCCTATCACGAGTGGGATGTTGTATTTCCGCCAGTTCCAAAGCCCGCAGTAACAGAAGCGGCCGCGCCCAAAGACGGTGCTCCATTTTTCAAAGTTCTGCATATCTCCGATACTCATTATGACCCTCACTATATTGAGGGTTCGAATGCTCAGTGTAATGAACCCTTATGCTGTCGTTTAAGTAGCGGAAGACCAGAAAATCCGAATAGCAGAGCCGGTAAATGGGGCGACTATCGCAAATGCGATACTCCCAAAAGAACTGTTGACAATATGTTATCACATATTGCGGATACACATAGCGACATTGATTACATTTTGTGGACGGGAGATTTGCCACCCCACGATGTTTGGAACCAAAGTAAAGTAGAAAATTTGGAAATTCTGAAGGAAACCGTACGACAAATGGTTGAGAAATTTCCTGGTGTTCCGATATTCCCGGCTTTAGGCAATCATGAGAGTGCCCCCGTGAATAGTTTCCCTCCGCCTTTTATCACTCAAGATGATAATTCTATTTCGTGGCTTTATGATGAATTAGATGTGCAATGGCGTCGTTGGCTACCTCAAAGTGTTTCGAACACCTTGAAACGCGGTGCGTTCTACTCGGTGCTTGTGAGACCCGGTTTTCGTATTATTTCATTGAACATGAATTACTGTAATAATAAGAATTGGTAAGAACAATCTAAAACATTCATTACCACTACTATTCCTTATATCAAATTCTAGGTGGTTACTGTTGAATTCCACCGATCCAGCAACTGAGTTGCAATGGTTTATCTATGAATTGCAAAGCGCAGAGTTTTCTAATGAAAAAGTTCATGTTATCGGACACATACCTCCCGGTCATTCAGACTGCTTGAAAGTGTGGTCCAGAAACTTTTACAAAATCATTTCGCGGTATGAAAACACAGTCGCAGCGCAATTTTACGGTCATACGCATTTTGATGAATTTGAATTGTTTTACGATCCGAGCGATCTGAGTAAGCTTTACTTTTTACCCACATTTCTTATGCGATATTTTGAAAGGCATGTATGATTTCTTTCTGAATAGCGCGACCTAACAATATAGCTTACATTGGACCATCGGTATCGCCATATTACGACTTAAATCCAGGCTATCGTATCTACTATGTAGACGGTGACCACGACCACACCACACGTCTAGTAGTGGATCATGAATCTTGGATTATGAATCTGAAAGAAGCTAATCTGTACGGTTATCCTATATGGTATAAATTGTATGCAGCCCGTTCCGCCTACAAGATGAAAGCTTTGAGACCGGTTGATTGGGACAATCTAATCAATGAAATGGCCAACAATCAAGAATTATTCGATCTTTACTATAAGTGAGTACGAAAAAGAAATTGACAACTTTACCTGGCCGCCGCAATAAGTGATTTATTTATAGAAACTATTGGAAAAATTCACATTTACGACCAGTGTGTGATGCCGAGTGCCGAAAACGTATACTATGTGACGCCAAAAGCGGACGTTCGCACGATCGTCGACAGTTCTGTTATAGTGTAGAATGGAAAGTGGATGATGATGCGGGTAAATCATGGAAATCGTGGTTTTATCGTGGTCTTAGCAACTCGTACGTATTACCATTTAATCCCGCTAAAATCGATATTTTTTGTTAGAAATTCGTTGCGTTTTAATTATTTGGAGTATCGTGTTAATATTAACTCTTGTCATAAAAACACTTTCATTGTATAACATCATGTATAATGTGACGTTGTGTTATTATTTTTATTAAATTTTTGCTACAAAAGCTCGGTCTTAAATCATTATCGTTCATTGTTACGTTAACATATATTTCATTTTTGTAAACGTCGTTTTACACGTAGACATACTTGCTTTGTGTGTTCTTTACATTTTTCAGTTATATAGAATACAGTTTACACTACACCACACTTCTGAACTGGTGTCGGTTGTAATCTTTTAAGTGATTTCTAACAACAATTATTTTACTACTAACTTCTAACAGGGGCTTACTCTCAGTACTCGCCGAGGCTCTTAGTAACGGAGAAGCTGATAATCCTGCTGAAGAAGCAGAAACGTCAACCTCTTAGCGGGCACCAGATGCCATTATTACTTACGTGTAATAAATATAAATGAGACAAAATCTTAACAATTCAAACAAAAGAAAATCTTGATTGGTTGTGGCTCTAACATTGAAAGGAAAATGTGACAAACTTTTGAACTAATAATAAATCAATCGATACCAAAGTTAACAAAATAAAAAGTTTATTTCTTACCAAAGTAGTTATTTGGCTATAATTACTTCTACCGTTTTCTCTCTCACTGTCTAGTTATACAATAATCACATCAATCGCTTACCTGCCTAAATATCTTTTGGGCTTCGGATGATATCGTGGATGCACTATCTACCGTATAAATAATTCCATTTAGTCTCAGTAAGCCAACCTGTGAAATGCGGATGCAGTTCAAAATTTTTGATGTGTAGATTTTGTTAATTCGTCAGGTTCTTAATATTTTTTCTTTCTCTTCGTTTTCATTTTTTACAACTTATGTGATAATGTTCATTTTATATCTTAAGGTTTAATGTTAGTAAGTAAATACTTATAGTATATATATATATATGTATATATACAGGCGTGCAATCGAATGAATTCCAAAAAAGAACAAAAATAGTCATATAATTAATTGTATTTATGAGATTGTCTTCAAGTAATGAAATAATTAATCTTCGAAAAACATCTAAATATACTCACTTATACTTTAACTTTTGCAGTTACAAGAATGAAAGAAGTAGAGAAGCAATCAGTGCTCAAATAAACCTAAATTTATGTACATAAATTTTTCTTCCTTTGAAATTAAGCCCATACCGCCGAATTGTGATTTTTAGGATAGCATAAGTTTAATTTACAATACTTAGGAGATCTATTTACAAATTATTTACAAGGGCCTTGTATTTGTAATGCTTCTACTCGCTTGGGAATAACCCTATTGCCTCCCGCAATTGTTCTACTTACGCATCAGCAAGCTACCAGTACCCACCTTTGTTGAGACATTTTCTCAACCTTCGCCAGTTGCATGAGGCAGAATTGTGTTTTTTATTAAATCAGATAGTTTTCATGCAATCATTTTATTAAATGTGGGATTTTCGTAACAGATGTTAAAATTAGGCTGTATAGCAAAGCACATGCAAGGTACGTTCTAAAGTGAGAAGAACTTTTTCAGCATTTAATTCACCGGCTATCAACACCCTCTTCTTATATGTCAAAAAGTGGATGCTAACACTTTTTCTTCGTCTTTTATATTTTTCTCTGCAATAACAAAAGGGTTATGAATTTTTTAACCAACACGTTTTTCACTCTCTTTTGGGTTTGTCAGTAAAATTTAATGTAGATTGTTTTGATCGTTAAGTCAGTATTATAGTTAGATCCAATTGTAAAGATTATAATGGCGTCGTCTACAGATAATTGTCTAAATTGCTAAGGTATTCTTCATTCTTTCAAGTGTTAACTGCAAACGCTAATCAGCAGTATTCGAAGTGGCAGCGCATTTGTTGCGTAAATGCAAGAAATCGAACTTTTACATTGACTGAGACCTTTGATGATTACCCTCAACTGATGAAACGAGCGAAGGTGGGGGTGCCGTAGCACGAGGCGTTTACAGTAAGTCGTGGGAGCGTAAATTATGCCTAATATATTGCGCAAACCGTTTGTAAATCCCTTAAAAGTCAGGCAAAATCTTTGTTCAGATTAAATGAAAATGGAAATAGATCTCTTTGAAATATCCATTTGTCGAAGTTTGGCGGAGTATTAAATTCTCTGGAAGGTCTGCCCACCCTTTATATTGAACTACTTGATTGGTAAAATAAAAGTTGCCTATTTGTTGTTTAGCCAAAAATATAAATCAATAAATCAATGCAAAGAGCTTAAACGAATGCAATAAGTACCCCGTCGTATACAGCGCTGTTGCTACGCAGCGCAGGCAACGCTTGTAAATTTCTTACGGATTTGTTAAAAAAAAAAAATGCTTATTTTCGAATACTTAAAGAAACTGTTACAAGGTCCACAAAAATAACTCAATTTTGCCCTCATAACAATCGCAAGCAACTAAAACTGTGAATGTATAAGTTCAGGCTACGGTTCTCATCCTATGAGAGACCGTAAATTGCTTGAAACTGAAAATGTTTTTAATGGAACTGATATGATGAAATGAAATAAAATGAATTTAAAGAAATTATTATTATTGTTATTATTATTATAAATTTAGCGAGAGTATAAATTCTAAGACTAAAGTCTTAAAGCATTAGCATCTAAGACTTTCGGGTTTATTAAAAAGTCTACCGCACTTGAGATTTGCACCCACGACCATTGAGTTGCTAGTTGAGACTCTTGCCTAATCGGCGACTCAGGCAGATATATAAAGAACTTAGCAATCATCTTCTGTGCACTTAAAATAGAGTAATTTTCTTAAATGAAAAGATTGATTCACAAAAAAGGATTTTCATGTATAAAGTAAAAGCCATAGAGTGTTCAAGACGGCTGTGGATCGACCAATTTTTCAGATATAGCACTGACCCAAAACTTTTCAGAAAATATGAATTTAAAATTTTGTGAACTTTATCTTGTTTTTTCAAAACGTTGATATAATTAAAAAATGATATCATTTTGAATTTTTTTTTTTTTTTGGAGTAAAAATCGATTCTATAAAAGTTATTGGAGAATTTTGTTTTGAGGCTGCAATTAAGATTTAAGGGTGTGAAGTTAAAATTATATTTAACTAGCAAAGACAAAAACCAAAAAATGTTAACCGAGCTCCGTTAAGCCGTTAAGAGAGTTCTATTAAAGGAATCTCGGACAGATTTAAATCAAAATTTAGTTAAAATAGAGTTTTTTGGAAATTTTTTTAAGAAATAGAAGAAGAAAAGAATAAGAAAAGAAAATACGACTTTATATTAATTAATTAAAACTTATATGAAAAAGACCTTTTATTATACCGAACACGAGAGTGCAAAAGTGAAAGTTTATTTAACTTCTGCGAGCATATGAAACTAACACTAGGTAACTCCTTGATCCTTTCCAAAGATTTATCATATTTATGAAGTTTCCTTGGGAAAAATATATCTGTAACACTTTGAAAATTTCTTCTATATGAACTAATATGGTGGCAATGGTCAACAAATCATTGGGATCGAACCAAGTGCTGCGAACAAACCAAACTAACATCGCGTAAATCCCTGATCAATGGATAGACTGAAAAATTTCCAAGTGGTGTCGATTAAGCTACATTTCTAAAATTATAGCAGTGCTTGTAAACGACAAAGTGGTATATCAACAGGAGGCAAATTTAATGTTTAATCCGTTTATCAAAAAATACTTTTCTTCGGAGAACTATTGAACAGCATATACTATTTTTGTGCAACGGTCTCTATGCGCGAACTTCGTACTTTTCGTCGAGGTGCTTTGACATTGTATAATATATAGGACCTTGTATAAATATGTATGCTTTTTCTCACAATATATTTTCAAAAGTGAGGCCAAAAGCTAATACACATATGCCTAAAGAGAGTCTTTACTCTAAAGAAAGTTAATTTTTCAGTTAGCCATAAGTAGCAGAGTGTTAGTTTACCCATATTAGGCATTACTTGACGGATGATGCTAGTTGCGAATGTTGGAGCATTGTGATAAAAATTGTGTTTGTTCATAGTGATTTTTGGTGGTTTGTAAATGGAGAAACGATCTTAAAACCGGACGGTTAAACGTCATACGAAGATTGGAACAAGTCGCAGGAACCGCATAAGCTTACAAGACGATTGCAGGACGTGACAATTTACAAAATGCTGTTAAATCTAGTTATGAATGAAAGCGGAAATATGCAACAACATATATATATATATATTTAATAACATGACTGGAAAACTTGCTGAAACTGGCATAAACATTTAAAATGAGCGTCTAGTTAAAACATTTGCAAGCATATCGGAAGGTTATGAGCAGTTAGTCATCGCCATCGAGACTAGCGTTGAACGGCTTAGTATGAATGTCTTAAATACAAAACCCTATGAAGCAAGTGAAAGAAAAAGTCGAAAGGATGATTTCGACACACAAATAAGTATGAATGTTGGGCTGAGAACCCGTCACTTCAATAGTCCTAATCAGCCGTGGCAATACAAACAACTAGACGTTCATGCATATTTATGGCCGAATATATATTAGTTGTGAATGAATTTCCTGACTGCATTCAACTTTCCGAATTGTTAATGTTCGCGGATGACATGAAAATTTGTTTTGTTTCTCCTTCGACACACTGTATAGTATTAACTTTCTTCAGTCTAATCTTGTTAACCAGTACACTTTTTGTGTAACTAATGGCATGATACTGAGTTCAAAAAAAGGCAAGAAGTTGTTATTTGCATGGGTTGATAAATTATCGTCTTCTAAAGGTATTGATAATCGCATTCTCAAAGATATGTCCAATTCTGAAGATTTAGGTATTGTTTTCGATTTTAAACTCAGATTTAACATCCATATTGCAGTTTGAGTTAATAAAGTTACGTCCTTCCTTGGGTTTATAAAAACATGGTCAAAAGTGTTTAACGATCTGCATGGTACTAAGAACATGTATACACTTGTAATTAAATTAACACTGGAATGGTCAGTTAACTTGCCTCAACTACTAGTTTTTCAAACGTTACAGCTGCTTAAAACATCGGCATGGATATAAACCAATCAATTTTTTGATGCAATTACCAACATGTACCAACCATGCAACCATGTACTCGCAATGCAGCATGTTCATCTTTAACTAAATAGTTCAACAACAGCAGTTCACATCATATTACATTTCAATGCCTTTAATAAGTAGAAGGAGTTGCTCACACACCATAAAGAGGGTTTAGAATTACATTTCCGGGTAAAAAATGTGCTCACAAACAAGACCTATGCGGGAAGCTTGTTTTGCGATACGTTGGAGCAAAGAAATACACGTTTGAAGCATCACCAGAGCCACTAAAAGCAACCAACGAGCTAAATTACGATAAAATTCTAATATTACTGAAGATCAGCATTTGTGACCGTTTACCAAATTAATTCATTTCAACCACATATGAAAACACTTTGCAGCAGAATAGATTCTACGAGTTTAGTCTTTACGAGGTTTGTGGGACGGATATATTAAGGAAAGTTTATTGCAGCATGAGGAAAAAACAGTTGTCTAAATCATACAAACGCATTAGCTGTAGAAGGAAGATTGCCTGGTCAAGAAATCACTTTAACAACCGCAAGCATTTA